TGCGAATTAAATCCAACAACGATACGAATACTTCTTGCAAATGTCGCCTGTCAATATTTTTCCAATACTACGAACGAAAGATCACGATTATATCATTATAAAACTCCAATGTCCTGGCAGGATCGCCAAAAATATGTTCTCAAGACTCGAAACTCTTTTTATAAACTTTAATTTAACAAAAATAAACGAAAAGAACAATAATAAAAGTAATATTTCCCTCATAAAATCTCACGAACAACGTTTTTCGAACGTCCTTAAAACCCGTTGCCCAGTAACCCCTCATTTCACATAAGTTGCCCAAGTTTACTGTTTCGAAATGTCAACCATAAAATGTCAACTACGAATTAACTACAAAATACAGTTTATCCAAAAGGATAAAACGCGGACATGGTTCAGAAAACCTTTTTCAGCACTTTATAAGTCATCTCCGCGTTTTATCCAAGGAATGAGTTATATCATAAAACGCGGATATGCCTTATAAAGGGCTGAAAAAGTATTTTGGACCATATGCGTTTTATCCTTTTGGATAAAAGAAAAACGCGGATATGACTGTTAAATGACATTTAGCGAGAATATAAGCCATCCGCCCGTCCGCCTTCCATCTGTCCGTCCGTATCCGCGTTTTATCCTAACTCTAAATTTACGTGGTGTTTCCCATAGTGCATCTAATTATTCTGCAATTCAAAAATTGAAGCCTTGATTGCAGTCTCAGGTCGTTCCCATGAAATGAGAAGATTCGTATGTTTGCTATTTCTTAACTTGACAGGGAATTTAAACATTAAGTTAACCAATACGTTTTCAGTAAACTATTCAAATGATGAAAGTTATTATTGTTTTTAAGCGTTTATTCGCAAGCGGGACAACCAAGGCCCAGCCAATGGTCGCAACAAAACAATTTTTTCATTTTTTTGCGACAGTCGGCGATGAAGTAGTATAGCCTTCTGAAGCACATAGATGAGCTTCGAGTAATTATGGCTGATAAACCCATTAAATTCTGCCTATTAATGAAACTAAACTTGATCATTCAATATCTGATCAAGAAATAAGTATTTGCAGGTATTAGGAAAAATCGTAATAGGAACGGTGGCGGTGTGTTAATGTACGTACACGAATCCATAACATTCATTGAACGCAATGGCCTATACGTCCAAACTCACCGGCTGGAAATAATTTGCGCTGAAATTAAAAAGCCACATAATATAAGTCATTTCTTGTGAGCTCATGGTACAGACCACCTAACTGTGATATTAATATTTTTAATGATTATGAGTCTTTTCTTCAAAATTGTGAAACAAACAATTGTGAGCTTCATGTTATGGGAGATTTTAACTGTGAAGTTACTAAATCTTCTCCCCGCTATAATACTCGTAGGCTACAATTCCTCTCGACACTTTATCAGCTTGATCAAATAATTAATGAACCCACAAGCGTTACAATAACGTCAGCTTCTTTAATCGATCTATTTTTTACAAACAAAGCGGGACTAACATATCACAATCGGGTGCGCAAATCTTTAATTCTTGTGGTTCTTGATAGACAAGCACCCCTTAGACATGTGCGGATCAGTGGTTCAAGGCGGATAGGGGTATACAAATCCGCCGATCCGCCCAAATTTGAAGCAAAATCGGCGATCCGAGCCAAAGTATTAGATAAATCCGCAATCTGCTGTATTAATAAGATCTGAAATCCGTGTAAAACATTCGCCAGATCCGAAATCCGGACAATTTTTTCTGTGAAATCCGACGATCCGAAAACCTTCCTTCAATACCTTGGATCACTTCTAATATCAAATATGAGCAATTTTCAGCCTCTCATCGCCATCTTGAAAACATAGTTTCGTAAAACAGTATAAAAAAAGTTGCAAATAAAAGCAAATAAAGTTGTTCAATCTCCATGAAAACGAAAGTATTAGTGTTAGTCTTGCATGTGAACAGTAACTGGAGAGGATAAGCGCATCACAACGTTTTTAAAAAATCAGATGAATTCTTGTAAAATTCCCCTTCATTTCCGGTCTGAAAATACTCTCGCAAGGTCAAATTTCAACATGGGCTATAACTCCTATAAAACAGAAAGTTGAAACGTTCTGAAAGAAGCTCGATTAATATTGACCAAAGTCTAGTTCATATGCAAAATATGAGCTAAATCTATTTTTCCTTCCCCAAACCAGTGGGTGGATTTTACTGAGAGGCCCTCTTAAGAGGTCCAGAAAACACCAGCACACTGTTAGGTGTGATATATATTGAGATTCAGAGTAGACGGCATAGCTGTTACTACCGACGTGAAGAGGATGTTCCATCAAGTCCAAGTCATACCCGAAAACCGAAGCACACTGTGTTATCTTTGGTTGCCGGACGGCGACCTGTCGAAAGCGGCAAAACTCACCAAATGCTTGTCCATATATTTGGGGCTAAGTCATCTCCAAGTGTCGCCGGTTATGCCCTCGGAAAAACAGCCGTGGACAACGGTCAGGATTATTCCCAAAAAACTAATTTGGACGCGGTCACTCGCGATTTTTACGTGGACGACCTGCTAAAGTCATTTTCCGACCCTGAGGAAGCGAAGAAAGTAAGCAAGGAGTTGCAAAGTATACTGGCAAAGGGAGGATTCCATCTAACCAAATGGTGCTCAATTTCACGTGAAGTCTTACAAGAATTTCCTTTCGAAGGGAGGTCACCGACAGTCAAAGCTTAGATTTGTAATCAGAAGCCTTACCCATGGATAGAGCGCTGAGAGTCCACTGGAATGTCGAAAAGGAAACGATTTTACTAGCTGTAGACGACAAGAAAGAGCAAAATAATCGTAAAGGCGTGCTGTCATCGATAGCGACAATCTACGACCCTCTTGGATTCGCCAGCCCACTTATGTTACCAGCGCGGGAAATTAACCAAGAGTTATGTCGCCTAAAATCGGATTGGAACAGCGAACTGCCTTGTGAATTGTCTACGCGGTGGAAGAGGTGGAAAGAAGATTTGACCAACCTACGCGTACATGAGATTCCCAGGTGCTTTAAACCGATGGAATTTGGACAAATTCAACAGATAGAGCTACATCATTTCGCTGACGCTTCGTAAGAACACGGTTACGGAACTGTATCGTACTTGCGCTTCAAAAACGAGAAAGGAGAGTTCCATGTCAGCTTTGTTATAGGAAAGTCCAGAGTGAAGCTGCTTAATAAAGCAGTCACCATCCCTAAATTGGAATTGACAGCGGCAATGTTAGCCACGCGTCAACAAAACCATCATGAAAGAACTGCAAGGAAAACTTAAGATCGATACAATCACCTATTGGACAGATTCCATGATTGTCTCAAAGTACATCGCTAACGAGACACGGCGATTCACCACCTTTGTCGCAAACCGAGTTGCTGCAATTCCATAACAATCGACACCGGAGCAGTGGCGGCACGTGAAATCTGAGTTAAATCCGGCAGACTACGCATCGCGAGGAATTCGGGCCTCCGAGGCAAGCAAGCTAGATCGTTGTAAACGCGGTCCTGAGTTCCTCTGGAAGTCAACAGAAGATTGACCTACTCAACCAAGAGATCTCGCGGAACGTCTAGACAAAAATGACGAAGGAGTAAAGAAAGAAAAGGTCATTCTTTGCGGAGCTAGTGTGGAAGAAGAGTTTTGGAGTCAATTGTTAAGACGGTTTTCCTCGTGGGAAAAACTGCGAAGAGTCGTCGCGTGGCTAATCAGAGTGTTTCGCAGACCTGAGCAATCGCGAGATTCCGAGGAACAACCACAAAGCGACGCGAAGAAAATACGGCCACTAGCCACTAGCAGAATTAGAGGAAGCCGAAAGAAAGATAATTAGACGAGTTCAAGAAGAATCGTTTCCGGAAGATTTGGAGAGGATGAAAAAGGGCAGTTTAGCACGATTGAAACCTTTTCGCGAAGACGGACTGTTACGTTTAGGAGGACGATTGAATCGGTCGAGCTTAGATCACGATTCAAAGCACCCATTTATCCTTTCGAAAGACAACATCGTGTCCGAGTTGATCATACTACACTATCACGGTCTCAACGGTCACATTGGAAGTCGCCAGATGTTGGCAAAAACCAGAGAACGTTTCTAGATTACAAATGGCCATGGAGTATCTTATGTTAAACGGGTTCTCAAGAAGTGTCAGATCTGTAGGCGAGAGAATGCGAAGACTGGAGAGCAAGTGATGGCGCCGTTACCAGTCGTGAGGAGGTTGTCGGACGAAAACGGTTTAGTGTACCCGTTTGCAGCTGTTGGCATTGATTACTTTGGGCCACTTTACGTGAAATTAGGTCCGAGGACGAGATCGAAGAACTCTACATTAGCAAAACGGTTCGGATGCATCTTTACGTGTTTGAGATACAGAGCTGTTCATCTCGAGGTAGCTGAAGATTTGTCGACGAACAGTTTCATAAGTGAGATATTACGTTTCGTTGGTCGAAGAGGACCACCTCGTGTTATATATAGCGACAATGGCACTAACTTCAAAAGTGCTGAAGCAGAAGTTATCGAAGCCCTGAAATCGTGGAACCTTGAAAAGATCCAGGGATCACTCTCACGCAGAGGTATCGAATGGGTATTTAATCTCCCAGGTGCAAGCCATCAAGGCGGCGTTTGGGAACGTCTGATACGGTCAACCAAGGAGATTCTTGGATAATTAGTCGGAAATCGGGGGCTCAACGATGAGAGTCTACGAACATTCTTGGTAGAAGTGGAGAAAATCATGAACGAACGACCCATAACACCAGTCTCGAGCGACCCTCAAGACCTGGAAGCGCTTAAACCGAACCATATACTGCTAATTAATGCGCCAGAATCCATCGACATCGGTGAAAGAGTGCGGTAAGGTGAAAAGCTACAAAGCAAGATGGAAGCACGTCCAATCACTAGCGAGTACGTTCTGGGAAAGATGGATTAGGGAATACCTACAGACCTTACAAGAAACGCAGAAATGGTTGGAAAAGAAACCCAATTTTAGTGTCGGAAATTTAGTATTAGTGGTAGACGCCGACGTTCAGCGAGGTCGATGGGCAAAGGTACTTCTAGAAGAAGTCTTCCCAGATACCGAAGGAATCGTCCGCAGAGTAACTGTTAGAACGGCGAACGGAGTGTATCAGAGAGATGTACGAAAGATTTGGCTGCTAGAAGGAAACCTGTTGGGACAAGAGACAGTTGTACAAACCTGAATTAGAAGGACCAATTTATGATAACATTTAAATGCTCAGTTGTTTAGAAAGACTCCTTTGTCGTCTTTCGGGGGTGGGGAGCGTGTAAGATCTATCATATAAAGTAATATTCCTGCTTATATTGCGGGCGCAAACGTAAGTTGTTGTTTTGGCACCAAAGAAAACGAAGGACAAGATATTTCTATAAGTTAAAGTGAACCGTAATAATCTTGGTTAAAAGCTCGGTTAAGAGAAACGTTGAAGATAGTAATTTACATAAAGACGTCACAATAACTTGTAAGTATTCGATTAGTCACTTAGATTTCGTATTTGACACTTTAATTGTTGACTTGTATACCGAATCTCTCGTGTGTACCTTTGAACATACGTGTGAATAAAGTTCGTGACGAACCAAAGTATTTTGAAGTTTACAACGCAAACAAACCTGAATCGTGCCTGAAAGTCCACCCCAAATTGGAAATCAAAATTTTCGAACAAGCTCGAAAATTCTTTGCACTCGGATAAGCAGATCCGTTTTATAAACTTTACACACAATGTGATATACCTCAGTAACTCCGTTTTCGGTGTAGACTATTTAAACAATCTTCCAGTATAAAGAGGTGTATAAAAACAGCGGACAATACATCAATATTTATACAGTAATCGTTTATTTGTTTTGGATTTTGGAAGCAACAAGCCGTTCAAGATGGCACATGCGCAAGCGTCACGCAAGCGCATCACGGATGGCACGAGCAAAACATTAGGCGTTTCCAGTCCCTGTCTTCTGGATTGTCTATGATCTCACCTTTACAACCCTAACTAGGCCGCCACTTCCTTGATACGCTTCGATCACACGGACAAGAGGCCATTCTCCCCTATACTTGCTTTGGGTTCAGCAATCAATACCACATCGCCTTGTTTCAGATTATATATATATGTTTGGGATGAAACCATTTCTTGCTTACATTAAGGCGTGGAAGGAACTCCTTTCTCCAGCGCTTCCAGAACAGCTGTAACAACTGTTGTACTCGATGCCAGCGATTCCTAGGGTTGTTCGCTTCAACTTGATCAAGAGCTTCAGAAGCAAATACCCCACCGATCTGTCCGACTATAAAATGATTTGGAGTAAGTGGGGAGGGTCGTTTGGATCTGAACTCACATTGCGGTCTGAAGTTCTTCATCCGTCACATCTGCAATCTTTATTGCCTTCTTGGCGCTCTTTATCGTAGCCTCGAAAACCCCTCCAAAATAAGGGCCGATGGAGGATTGAATTTCCAGTCAATAAGTTGATGCTTGGTGGTTTCTTGGGCAATTTGTCATGGTTAAGAGCTTGGACTAATTCTCTCATCTCTCGCTCTGCGCACACGAAATTGGTCCCATTGTCAGATATAACATATACGGGCGTCCCCCTCCTCGATACCATTCACATAAAGGCATTGATTAATGAAACCGTGTCTAATGAGTATGACATCTCAAGGTAAACAGCCCTTGTCGTTAGACAAGCGAATAGGCATAGGTATCTCTTTGCTTTGGCTTTGCCTCGTCCTTGCTTCGTTAGAAATGGGCCTCTATAATCCACTCCGACTCTTTCGAAAGCTTGTAACGATTGAAGTCGCGGTCTGGGAAGCGGTGCCATCTTCTGCTCTGCTATTTTTGCAGAAAAACGTCGTCGACATTGCGCACATGACTCAACGATATTCCTTACCGCGTGTCTTCCTTTAACGATCCAAAACCGACTTCGTAGCAGTGTTAGAACCTGCTCAACTCCAGAACCATGTCCGAGCTCTTCGTGTGCATCCTTGATGATGAGTCGGGTCGTCCATCCTCAGAAGATCATCGTCACCGTTCTTTGGACTAAGTCGCAGTAAACATCCTTCTCATTCTCCTTTCGGGAAAGCTTCTCCTTGCGCTTGCTTGATCCACCACTTTTCCACATTAAGTATTTCAGTTGAACAAAGCGTTCTGCTCCGTTTTCGTAATTCCCTTGGACGTCTGCAGTTTGCAACGAATCGTTGAACCCATCCAGTCACACGACAAAGGCGACAGAAGGTAGAAAAATGGTTTGGTTCAACGCCCAGGTTAACGCGCGCCTGGACCATGTACGTGTGTGCCACTGTCTTTTCAACATCTTCAACTTTCGTCTCCTCTCTACCGGAAAGCGCTGATGGCCCCGAAATCTCGACATCTTTCAAGAACGTTGGTCCTTCCAACCCAAATGTGCTTTTGGCTAGTTCCATAGCAGATTGACCTCGGGTCGCTAGATCTGCTGGATTCTGTTTCCCAAGTATATGCCTCCATTGCTCGGGACTGGTTGTCCGTTGAATTTCTGCGAAACGATTGGCTACGAAGGGTTTAAACTGCCGGCTGTGGTTTCGTACCCAATACCACACATTCTCGGGGTCAGTCCAAAAGATCACTCGGTCGACAGTCAGGACTTTCAGATAAACGGCTTGAGAGACTGGCACCCATTTTTTAAATAGACGTGGTGGAGGGGTAGCTATATATATTAAAGAGAATATATCTTGCTCAGCTAGACATGATCTTGCCCCTGCCCAACTAGAAATGGTCTGTGTAGAAATTAATCTTCCATATAACAAATCGTTCTTGGTTAGTACATGGTACAGACCGCCACATGCAAGTATAAACGTATTTGAAGATTACACTAAATTTGTTGAAAAATGTGATTATGAAAATAAGCAGTTGATTGTTCTGGGAGATGTGAACTGTGACTATTTTAAAAATCCATCTGAATCACATACTCAAAGGCTAAAATTTATATCATCTACATATCAGTTGCAACAACTGATTTCGGAGCCCACACGAATGACAAACAGATCAGCCACTTTAATAGACTTGATATTCACAAATGAGACAAAAAACATAGCAAAATCAGGAGTTATTCATAATGGTATGTCTGACCATAGTTTAATCTACGTTGTCCGCAAATTTATCCCATATAAGAGTAGACAAATCAGAAAAGAAGTTCGAAACTTAAAACACTTTGTGAAGGAAAATTTAATTTGTGATCTGCTTAATATACCTTGGCAAACAATAGAAACTATTAATGATCCTAATTCGGCCTGGAAGGCGTGGGAAAATAATTTTAATAAGGTTTTAGATAGGCATGCGCCTCTGAGACTTCAGCGTATACGGCATACCGCAATTCCATGGCTAAATTCGAACATTAAAAAAATGATGCGTAATCGTGATTATTATAAAAAACAATCAATTAAATATGGCTCTGAGTACCACTGGAGACTTTATCAGGCCTCCAGGAACAAATCTAGTTATTACTTCCCAAAAATTGGCGAATGTAATAAGAACGATCCAAAAATTACTTGGAAACTAATTAATTCTCTTGGTCGTGCCATTAATTCTAATTGGTCGTGCCAGTAAAACAAAACATGTTAATGAAATTGAAATTGACAATAAAATTATTCGCAACGATGAAAATATATCTGAAGCTTTTAATGAATTCTTTATTAATATTGGGCCTAAACTAGCTTCTGAAGTTTCAAATCAGTCAACAAATAAGGTTGAAACTTATTTGGAAAACAACAAGTTAATTAATCCATCCTTTCGTTTTATGTTTATTCCAGTGGATAATGATTAATATTTTGAAAACTCTAAGACATCTAAATGTTTCGAAAGGCGCCGGTCTTGATAAAATTCCGGCTAAAATGCTACGCATTGCTGCAGATATAATTGCACCCTCTTTAACTTATATTTTTAATCTATCACTTTCAACTGGAGTGTTTGTAGAAAATTGGAAATATGCGAAAGTTATACCGATTTATAAGGAAGGCAACAAACGAACTTAGGGAAATTATAGACCAATATCAATTCTACCGATAATAAGTAAGGTCTTCGAAAAAGAAATCTTTACTCAACTTTACAAACATTTAAACGAAAATTGCCTTATATCCAAATTCCAATCCGGATTTCGACCAGGGCACTCCACAATTACAGCTCTAATTCAAATGTGTGATAACTGGTACGAAAATATGGATAATGGCAAGTTAACAGGGGAACCTTTCCTTGATATCAGAAAAGCTTTCGATTCAATAGATCATGTTATACTACTTGAAAAACTAGCTTTCTATGGCGTTTCTCAACTTGAACTTGCATGGTTTAAATCCTACCTCTCAAATCGGCAACAACAGTATCAAGTAAATGGCTGCCTCTCTAATAAAGGTGAAATCATTTGCGGGGTTCCACAAGGTTCCATACTTGGCCCGTTGTTGTTCCTATAATTTATATCAACGATTTACCCAAATGTCTAAAGACAACAACACCCTGTCTATATGCAGATGATACCCAAATTTTCGCCTCTTCGTACGACTCTGTTACGCTGGCTAATGATATAAACTCTGATTTAGAAAATGTCACAGATTGGTTAAATGTAAATAAACTCCAATCCCATCCTTCTAAGGCTAAGCTTATTGTCATAGAATCTAAACAAAATTTGACCAACAAAGTTGGTGAATTGTACAACAGCATTATCATGAACAATAACGTAATTTCACCTGTTGTCTCGAATAAATGTTTGGGAGTTTGATCTTGATGACAGATTGACTTTTGATATCAATATTGAAGAAATATGCAAGAAGATCTGTTCAGGCATAGGAGCATTGAGGACTGAATTAAACCATTCGTTCGGCAGACCTCTCTTGTTACATTATACAAATCATTAATCCAACCATATTTTGATTATTGCTCTCCCCTATGGGATACATGCGATAAAATATTAAAAGATAAATTGCAAATACTACAAAATCGGGCGGCTAGAGTTATCACTGGAGCAAGATATGATGATAGGATTAGATCAAGTGATTTTTTGGAAGGTTTAGGATGGGATAATCTACACGTTAGGCTGGCTAAGTTGAAGAGTATCCTAATGTATAAAATCCTTAATGAAAATTTTTCGCCATGTTTAAGAGAAAGCCTTGTAAGACTTAGAGAACTTAATAGACGCCATAATTTACGAAATCAGGAAACGGATCTAGCACTTCCAAAACCAAAAACTAATTTTTTGAAGCGAAGCTTTAAATATAGCGCATCAATGCTGTGAAAAAATCTTCCATTAGATGCAAAAAGAGCGACTTCGCTCAGTCAATTTAAGCGTAGTATTGCGGAACTGTCCTTTTAGAACCATGTTGACTTAATTATAGTTAACTCTCTTTACTTACTTAATTTACTTGACTTTATTTTTCTTTGTTGTTGGGGGAGGTTGGGGGGTTCATATAATATTCTATATATTCTACTGTTTTATATATCACTCCCCTCCTGTAATATAAATCAGCTTTTAGTTGTGCGAGGCTAGCGTGTTTTCATTTTAAATAAAATTGATTGATGATGATGATGATGATGATGATGATGATGATAAGCTCCAGTCTGGGAATCGTCATCGCTTTGGTGGGGGTTACATGGCTCTTTGATGTGACAAGGCGTGATGTAGGGCTGTCATCTTCATATTGGCACGCCGCACACTAAATAAGCGACTGATCCGTAGTCAATTTCCTCACGCAATACAAAAGTATACTCAAAATTTGCAAACTTTGCAATGCTATATTTTCCGTATTTCACAACATTTCGCACCCAAACTTTGCAATTTTACTCAATTTAGTGTCCTCTTTCTAGCTGTATTGATGTATTTCCATTTCCTTGCCTAGTTGTAAAATTAGGGCCTCTTCATATGGGCAGAAGTTATCCCGGTTAGCGAGAAAACTTTTCGACAAGTTTACGAGTATGAAAGCATCACGTGACAAAAAATAAATAAACCAATTAGATGGATTTAATCATAACAAGTGTAAACAAAATATGTAAATCGCATTACAGAATATAATATAATAAAAACTATAAAATATATAATATATACAGGAAGCTAAGACAATTACTACAAAAAATAATAATCAAAACAAAACAAAACAAAACAAAAGTGGGAATAAGGTAAAAGTAAAATGTTGTCAATGTCTGCTTAGGACAGGCAAGGACAGAAGGAATTAAACATAGGAAAAGCGTTCATTAATACTAGAAGGGTGAACAGTGCCAAGTTTGGATATGAGGTGCATTTCATGTCGTTTGCGGCTACCATTGCTTCCAGAAATGGGACAGAGGGCTCGAATTACCATATCTGAAACACTGTGATTGCCATTATTAAAATGTCTGGCAACAGGTTGGTTAGCATCATTGCCAATAACTTCACGCCGATGCTCACCAAACCTTGTCCTTAAACATCTTCCAGTTTCCCCAATGTAAAGCATGCCACATCTGCTACAAGAGATGCAGTAGATGAGATGGGAGGAGGCGCACGTGAAATGGTGCTTGATGTGAAAATCAGATTTAGGTGCCGAAACAGTAGTGGTAGAATCTACAAAATCACAGGTTTTACATTTCGACGACAGGCAAGGAAAAGTGCCTTTCTATGACGTCGAAACCTGTGCTAGGGAGCTATGGACTAGGGTTTCACGGATATTTTTGCTGTGTCGAAAAGAGACTAAGGGGTTATCGGAGAAAATGGAAGATGTTTCAGGGTCGTTTTTGAAAATATGGAAATTCTTATTGATGACATCTCTAACTTTGAAATTGAAAGGATGATAACTTAAAACTAGGGGGATTTTGTTGTTGCCTGTGATATTAGACACAGGGTCTGTGAGGGTGTCAGAACGAGGAATTTGGGAGGCCTTCGAAAAGGCAGTGTCTAATAGAGAGGTAGGATAACCACGTTGGACAAAAAAGTGTCTCATCTCCAAACTTTTGGCATGAAAATCTTCGTATTTTCTTGTGAATACTTTGTAAATAAATTGACGACGAGCCCCTCATGAAAACTAACACTAGCGTCTTGAAATAAATTTTTACGATACGATAGGAGGTTTAAACAGAATCAACATCGGCGAGTGTCGTTTTTGCGCGAAACATGAGGATATGTGACCGACTATTCTTTGAGAATGTTTGGTCGAACTCAAATTTCGTAAAATGCTGATGTACGATGTACGATGATGATTTTCACTGGCTATTATTATACAGCATATTATACTATACCAGGTCATTTGTGCTATCTTAGAGGGTGGTATATTTTATTTTCTATATTTTCGTGAGCCGTCGGCAATAAATTGCCGACCTCATGAAATTCTTATTTACGGTGGCCCTTATAAGGACACGGTAAACGCAAGTTCTTTTTTGTATTTTACTTTTTTCTATAAACTCAGCTTTTGCAAAACTTTTTCCTAAAGTCAGCTTTTCCCTAAACGGCTAAAGTCAACTTTTTACCAAAGTCATGCAACTTCTTACTAAACTAATCAAGTTTTTTTCAATCAATCTTAATACGAAAGGAGTACTATATAGTGTTGTCATTTCAGGGCCGTAGACACCGGTGGGCTGCGGGCTTCAGGCTCCTCCCAATAATTTGCAAAGTAGCTATAGTCTGTAAAGTTTGAGGGAAATAATGACCTATAATAATTGCCCCTGACTAATCAGCCGCCCCACCAATACAAAATTGCTTTCTACGGTAGTGCACATACAATTATAATGTACTGTTTAATAAACGAACAGGAGCTACGAGCGCGCAGCGCGAGTGGCTTTAGACCTAATAATAATAATATTTAATATTTCCATTGCGGGATTTTACATATGCATGTATATGATCAGGTGCGAGTTTATTAAACTGAACGGCTTCAAACACGACTACAAATTCAATAGATATACTGCTTTATTAGCATTCTTTATATAAAGAATATACTATAATGAAGACACGACTACAATAGATACTGCTTTATTAAGTATTCTTTATACAAAGAATACTAATTAGGAGTGTTTTATCAGGTTTAAAGCCACTTCATGCACGTGACATATTATATGGTTGAAATGATTTGCCAATAAGTTTATGAATTATTATTGAGTGTTTGAACTACGTATATTTGACTTTAATATTGGTATTATTAAGCTCTTTACATCAATGCTTTTCTGTTCTACCATCCCATATACCTGCATCGATGAAAACCAGAATGTTGATCGCGAAGTTTTAATAGAACTTGGTTTCAACAATGTAGACATCGTTTAGCGCACGTTTGATACTGTATGATTGGTTGCTGGTATACAATGGAATGTTGCAATTTTGCAAAAATTAATTTTTAACCGTATATTTTTATATACAACATGGCGGCCGTTTAGGAGTGTACGAATATTGTTTTGGTGTTTCAGAGCTGTGCTATATACTAATACTACGAAAGAAATGCAAAGAAACGTATACTTAATGCGTATAATATCACAACAGTTAAATGTAGCGTGAAAACCTTACTCATATTTGTGTTGTACAGGTTTTCTGTCTTTTTAATCTATACATAGTATACAGTACTGTCAGTACACTGTACTATTTGACTATAATATCAAATATGTGCTATATTTGGCAAATACTATTTGTGTCAGAAATGGTTAATAGCTTTTATTAATTTGTCTTTGTGTTATTTAATTGCGAAGAACTAGCTAATGATTACTTTAATAATGAAGAACTAGCTAATGACTAGTTTCAATAAATCCAATCTTGGGATTTACTGTTATATATTTTATTATTTAATGTATATACTGTACTGTAAACTTTTCAAGTGCAGGAGTATGTAATACTCATTTTAACTTATAGCATGTAACCCTACCCTATATGGGTGCATATGAATCTTTTGCTGTTATAATTTATTTATAGAAGAGTTCAAAAAACCTTTATTCTCTAAATAAACCAAATTTCACAGGCAGTATTATAACTTGTATTCCAGTCTGCATACACCTAATACATATAATGAATTCTAACCTAAAATGTATTCATGCTAATATGCTGTACTATAGTGAGCAAATGATATGAAATTGCATGTATTTGCCACCAAACACAAGGCCAATACATACAGTGAAAAATTAATTCACTCTGATGACTGTGTCTCGATTTAGAGTTGACCACCCCATCAAATTTATGAAGTCATATGAAACACAATAATATACAGTATAATATTACTGACAGCTAATTGTAGCATAAAGTATTTAATGATTTTAATTTATTGAGTAGCACAATATGCCAAATTGGCAATCCCTTTGTTAATCTTGTCCACACAGTAATTCAAAGAAGCCCTGCCCTCTGTACAAGGTTGTATTAATTGGATTCTGTCCAAGAAAACGTCATAAACCTTTTGATCCAAATGTTACAAAGTATG